CTGAAGACAACTTGTCACAGCCGGCTGAACCTTCTTAAAACCCTTGCTCATCTTTCATGGGAAGCTGATCGTCGAACTCTCCTTCGCCTACATTCAACCCTCATTTTATCGAAACTTGATTATGGTGACCAGATCTATTCAGCGGCCTCTCCTGCTGCTCTATCTAGCTTCAACCATATTCATCACCAAGGATTACGTTTATGCCTTGGTGCTCATCGCTCTTCCCCTGTTGAGAGCCTCTATGCAGAAGTGAACGTTCCATCCTTATCCAATCGCCGTGATGCCCATTGCCATCGCTACTATGTACGCTCTCATGATCTCCGCAATCCTTCCATTTATAGAATGGTCACCGATATTAGTAGACATTCTTTATTTGTTCGCCGCCCCTGTTTGCTCCGTCCCTTCTCTCTTTGCCTACACTCGCTCTTGTCTTCTCTCCAATTTCCACCTCTCTATGTTCATGTAGCATCTCACTTTTCCCTACCCCCCTGGGAAGTTCCAGCTTTTCGAGTCTGTTCTTTCTCACTCTCTTGCTCGAAAGCCCAACTGTCTACGGTAGCTTCCCGCTCTCTTTTTCTTGACCACTTCCACTCTCATTCTCATGCCATTGCAGTGTACACAGATGGCTCTAAGTCTTCTGACGGTGTAGGATTCGTAGCAATGTTTAAGGACAGCGTCGTACGAGGGCATTTACTATCTTTGGCTAGTAGCTTTACTGCTGAATTGTATGCCATTCTTGCAGCACTTATCCGTATTGCATCTATGCCTGTGTCATCATTTGTGGTTGTCTCAGACTCCCTTAGTGCTTTACAGACTATACAGAAATTTGATACACCTCACCCCTTCGTCCTCCGTATCCAACTTTGGCTATGCCGCATCTCTACAAAGCATAAAGATACTGTTTTTTGTTGGGTCCCTGGTCATGTTGACATACAGGGCAATGAACAGGCAGACACTGTTGTGCGGTCAGCAGTTCTTGACCTACCAGTTTCATATAGAGGCGTTCCATTTACGGACTATTTTGCTGCAATAGCATCCCACCTTCACACCCGTTGGCAACAACGTTGGTCTACTCTGCTCGGTAACAAACTTCAATCTATTAAACCGAGTATAGGTTACTGGCCGTCTTCTTGTCACCAGTGTCGAGGTTGGGAGACTACTCTCTCCCGTCTTCGCATTGGCCATACTCGTCTTACTCATGGATATCTCATGGAGAGGCGCCCTGCTCCTCTCTGTGAGAATTGTCAGGTTCCATTATTGGTCAGCCACATTCTGTTAGATTGCCCACTTTATCAACGAGCACGCAGAATTTACCTCCAACTTCGTCCTCACTCTGCTGCTCTCTCTTTACCTTCCCTTCTCGCTGATGGACCCACCTTTCATCCAGACTCTCTCATTGACTTTTTGACAACAACTGACTTACTTCACAAACTCTGATGATACCATCAGCCCTTTCTACCTCAATCTCTTGCTACCCTCTACCCCTGCACTATCCCCTGCCCCGCTGTTTTCTGTAACCTACTGATCGCCCCTTCCCCCTTCTGCCGCCCAGTACCCTCGCTTCCTTCCCTACCCTGCAGCGCTGTATAGCCCTTGTGGCTTTGCGCTTCTTTTTGATTATAATAATAATAATTCATTACATGTTGTTTTTTCATGGGATCTCTATAGAGCCCTTAGGTTTTGGTTACCTTTGAGATGACATATATTGTATGGTATTTGATGGATGACATAGGACTGGGTTTTTGTTTGTTTTACTAGTTGTTGTAAAGTGTATGCTTCATATGTATATATTTATACTTTCCTCGAGAAGGTGATATGTTTGGGTGTTTAGTAGATATACGTTGTACATGAATCATGTAGAATTGATTTTTATATTATCTCTATACATTGAGTTATACTGAACATATCATGTTGTTCAGTATGGAATAATGCAAGAATTTCATACAATATAAAGTTAAATATAAAGATTGTTACGTGTCAGGTGACTTAACATGCAAAAAGGGAGGAGGTAGTGTTTTCAGAATGTAAGGTGTACATTCCGTGGCAGGATGTTCAATCAGGAATTAGATGTACTTGCCAAGGACTCTTTAGGTTAGATTTAGTGTTCCAGGCATAATGTCATTACTCCAAGGATTGGAATGGTCATTGTTTACTGTACAGATTTGTGTCTTTCAGATGTACCATATCATTTGGAAAGTACATGTACTATGCAGAATTCTGCAACATATATTGTAAGACTTATTGTTGTAATTCCAGTGTGTATTGATTTCTTTTTTTTTTTTTTTGTCACCACTGTTTTTCGCTATGTAATTTGTCGTTTGTTTTTATGTACTATGTATGTCTTTTAAATAAATAAAAAAAAATATATATATATAACATGGAACCAACTGAAAGTTAAAACAGCCCACTTCCAATCATTATGAACACACATAAGTTCGTACATGTAACATACAATGATAAAAAAAAACATGCTGTTATAACATAAAGTACTCAGCAAAAACTTATATCCCACTCACATCAAAGGGGTTTGAGACCAAATCCTGCTCATAATTTTATACATCCCACATATGTAAATAAACCGAAACCCTTGTCCACAAAAAAATTTGGTATAAACCCCTTAACAAACATGGTATAAACCCAAGACCTATATATGCTCTTAAAATAATATCACATAGAACCTCCAGCAGACAATAAAAGTTAAACATAATACAAGACAAGTAGTAAGTATAAGGGCCACATTTATCTTGCCAGTCCCAAAAGAAAAGACATGTACCTCAGATAACTTACGTCTTGAATCCAAATTGCCATATCTGGTTTCTCAAAACCCAGATCCTAAGGGCTCGTTATCCTGGCTATCAAGGAGAATTTCTTACACAGTGAGCATAACCATCAGGTGCATTTATATCCATTCTGTAATATGGTGACAAACTGCGCAGCATAGTCTAAATGAGGCCTAACCAAGGATATATAGAGTTGAAGAACAACCTGAGGACTTCTATTATTCATACTTCTTGATATGAAGCCAAGGATTCTGTTAGCTTTATTGCAAACACTAATGCACTGTTGTCTTGGTTTCAGATTACTGCTATCCAGAACTCCTAAATCCTTTTCGCAATCAGTAGTATTAAGATCTACATTATTTAGTTTATATGTGGCATGGTTATTTTCCTGTCCAACATTTAGAACTTTCCATTTGTCTATATTAAACTGCATCTGCCACTTCTCCGACCACTGCATCAGTCTATTCAAATCATCCTGGAGTGCTCTAATGTCCTCATTAGAATTTTGGTGTCATCAGCAAATTTGCTTATGTTGCTATCTATTCTCTCATCTATATCGTTTATGTAGAATGTGAACAACAATTGGCCCAATACTGACCCCTGTGGAACACTGCTCGTGACGTGTCCCCATTCTGATTTCTCCACATTTATGGAAACCCACTGCTGCCTATTTGTCAACCATGCCTCATGAAGCAGTGCTGCAGTGTTGATTAATACTTGGTAATGTCCAATCGTAATAATCAACGTAAACGGTAATTTTTTTTACTCAAGGAGTATGATAAGCTATCGCGGAGTATGAAAACACCTCTCGAATTATAATAAATCATCTATGACAATGCTAAACCATCTTGGAATATGGTAAAAACCATCTTGAGAATAATAAGCCATCTGGCAATTTAAAAATAATGTTCAGCATAGTTAACCATTTCACAATACGACATTCTACCTTGAAATTTGATAAAGTAAATAGGGAAATGATAAACTTTATTGAAGAATGATAAATTATCTTTAAGTCTCAGCAGTAATCTTGGAGTCTGATTAAAACATAGAGTATAATAATAATAATAATAATAATAATAATAATAATAATAATAATAATAATAATAATAATAATAATAATAATAATAATAATAATATATTATTATTATTATTATTATTATTATTATTATTATTATTATTATTATTTACTAAAAGTACATGTACAAGGTATACCTGCCTAGCTGACATCAATGACATACTATTATATAGAAAGCCGCTTGTTATGCAGAGCATTTCGGGCAACTTAGGTCACTTTTGTCCCAGGATGCGACCCACACCAGTCGACTAACACCCAGGTACCCATTTTACTGATGGGTGAACCTAGACAACCGGTGTAAGGAAACACGTCCAGTGTTTTCACTCCTCCGATAATCGAACCCAGACCCTCACCGTGTGAAGCGAGAGCTTTAGGCTGTTAGGTGAATTAGGCTGAAGTATAATAAATCATCTACAAGTATGACCAACTTTACCTAATTATAATAAACCAACAATAAGTGCGATACAATATTTCGATGAATGATAAGTTAACTTGAAGAAGAATAAATAATTTTAGAGTAATATTACGTATGCAGGTGTAGTTTGGTGGCCTGTACATCTGCTCGTAGCACAATAACCAAGGTAGGAATGAGGAACCAGTAAAAGTCAGCAGTGAGTAAATACTTACATATTTACTTCACCAAAACGGAATGCAAGTATATGTACAATGTATGTACACTATGTACAGAATATCGTGATTGTAAGCAAGACACACAATGAGAAATATGAGCGACCAGACTTGAGGTAAGTCTGCCACATTTGATCCATGAAACCCAGATATCGCTACACAACTTTTGCTGGTTTCCTTGTGATTAGCTAGGTTAACTGCAAGCACGACAGGGAGCCTCCCGCCTACTATACTTTTAGCAGCTGGTTCACTGGTCGTGATGTCATGTAACGCACTCTTAGCATGCCACAAGTATTGATAAACCATGTTGAAGTATGATAAACCATATTTAAGTATGATAAATCATTTTGAAGTATGCTGGGATTTAACGTTATATGACTTCATTTGTTCTAATGTGGGGACACACAAACAAAATCTGTTATATTAATCAATAAGGAGTGTATTAATTATCAGCAGCCACTCTAGTAGATAAACTGTAAAAAAGTAACTGATAAGGTCGTTGGAGCTTTGTGTAATATCCTTGGAATAATATTTACTTCAACACTCAGTGTTACTTGTGTGAAGGCTGCCACTGCCGGTTCAGGTTGTGATCACATTTCTTTGTTCGTTCGTAGATTTATTCTTCATGTTTCATGGGTCCAGTCTTCATCAGCTCTCATCGTTACCCCACTCCACAGATGATAGGTGTACTCAAAGACCATTGTAATCTGCTAAACAAAAATCTGGAACCGTTACTGAGATATCCTTACTATCATAATTCCATTCAATATTAAAGGTAATTGATTTGTGGTCGCTTGCGCGATGTTCCTCTGTAATTTCTAAATTATTAACAAGGGTTTCATTTTTTTGCCATTACCAAATCAAGCAGGTTATTTACACTTGTAGATTCTCTAACATTTCTTTAAAAAAAGAGTCCTGAACTACCTCTAAGAAGTCGTTAGACTCTTAATTCCCGGTCAAGGAATTCCAATCAATCTGACTAAAGTTAGGTCCTCTAGAATTAGTACATTATCGTGCCGTGTGGCACTAAGAATTTCCTTGCTCAGTAGTCTTCCATGACCCCTATACAAATTTGGGGGACCGTATACCACGCCTAAAATAAATTTCTCGTGCCCATCTGAAAATTCTACTTGGACTCATTGAGTGTTATATCAGATTTTATACCCATTTTTATGCAACAATTCAATTTGGCATCGCATGCGAGAAGTGCCAAGTATCTGGGATTCTCTGTCTGGCAGTGCTACCAGGCAATCACACAGGCCCACCACATAACACCATATTCCCTACCCCACAATAACCCAATAATCATTCGTCGCTCGACCTCTGTAGTGAGCGGACGTGCGTTACACTGCCCTCTGCTGGCCGTTGAAGAAAGCTGAGATTTTCTCAATATGGCGGTGCAGCCACGGAAGCGGATCAACACTGTCTGTTTTGATCTGGTGCGTGGGGCTGTGACAGCCCAAACAGCTTCTGTTCTCCTGCCAGCCATCGTCAGGGAGACTTATGGTGTCGCTGATGAAGAACTTTATGGAGTGGCACTTAATGGGGCCTATAGGGTCTTCGTTAAGCTCCGAACAACGAGTGTCTATGAGCAGTTGGTCAACAAATATCTGGATAGTTGTGTGGTTGTCAACCCAGCGGTCACAGTGAGGCTCATCGACGTATCACGTTACTTCACTTGGGTTATGGTACGAAACGTGCCTTTCGAAGCCGATGGATTTACGGCAGGTATTCAGCAGGCATGGAACTGTACATGTGGCGACTGTCGGCAAGTGGACGGACGGTGCATATGCTGGCTTCCTTGAAGGTACCTTCTCACTGAAGATGTCTTTGAAACATCCCATTCCGTCGTATGTAGTGATGAACGATTTTCGTACACAAGTGATGGTGTCCTATGCTGGGCAACGCCGCACTTGTCTTTGTGGAGAGTACAATCACTTTGCAGCGCAATGTGGTCGCCAACAGTGGATGAAGGACGTAAGGCGGCCACCAATAGAAGAGCCCATCCATAAGGTGACTGTGATGCATGAGTCGGGTGCATGTCCAAAGACGTCATTGTGGAGTGAAGTGGAGCAAGAGGAGCTGATTGAGGGGTCTTGTGTGACTCTACCTGGAGATCCTTCCTCCGTTGGCCCGGTTACGCTGGGTGAGGAGGGTAGGATGGTCATGGAAGAGAGAGTGGACGACACATTAGCGACTGTGCTGAAGGGATTGTTGGACACACCTGGAGAGGTGGAAGAGGAGGGGCTTGAATTATCCCTTGGGAATGTATCTTGTGTATGGTCTCAGGATGTAGAGGAGCTGGTAGAGAAACAGGATGCTGGGATGGATATCATCACCGTGGAGGCGCTGGTGCATAACGAAGGCCTTCTGGAGGTGGCTATGGAGGCGGTGGGAGGATCATGCAAACGGGCGGGGGCATTGTCAGACTCTGATGATGTCCTCACCCCGGCGCAGAGACCAGGCAAGAAGGTGTGGGCAGAGGTGGCACAGGGCGGCCCTAAGGGTGAGGTCAGGTTCACTCGCGCGGAGCAAAAAAAAAATTCGAAAAAATATGAAAATGGAGTTATTGTTACCAAAAAATAGCTGAACTTTCTGGCTACACTCTGGTATAATTATTATCCTTGTACGATGTTTCTAAAAGGAATTACAGCCATTTATAACAGGCATGGTGACAGCGCTGACGCGTCATATTGCGTAAAAGCGCTGACGCGGCTTTATTTACGTTTTTCCCCCGTGTTATTTTTATCGTTTTCTTATATCTTTTGATGTCTCATATAATACAAATTCACCATCTGACATCATGCCAGAGCGGGCGGAGCTAATATGATCAAGTAATCAGTCAGTACCCTGGGTATAGTACCCAAAATGGCCGACACCTCCAGCCAACAAAATATTCCATAAATATTCCATACCCACGCTAATATCAATTATAAGGCTTATTTATCTATCACAATTGATCTATTATGACATAATGCAATATAATAATAGCATATAAACATAAAAAGCACACCGTAAAAAATAATATATAGCATAATATGATGCCCCAGAGGAAAAAATTCCTATCGGTGTATCGCCTGAAGGTTCGTTCTCTCTTACATGTGATGAGAGAAAACGAATTTACAATGGTTAACTGTAATAAACACTCGTAGGTCACGCAAAAAGTGTAAAATAAAGCGAATTTTTCGGGGAAAAAAATTATTTCCCGGGCACCTGGGGTGCCGCACGCTTCGGCCTATATCTCGAAAGTAACTTATTTACCTATTTAGGGGCAATCCATCTTTATTTATGATTGAATTGACTTGATTTTCACAACAAACATAGGAGAATGATTGCTTTACAAGGTAAAGTGTACCTTTCTGAACTATCCCAAATATTTTTAGATTTATGTGGGCAACAAGACCGACATCTTCCAATATGTCAAAAAAGTTATGAAATTTATTTTTTTTTAGCATGAAGATAAGGTTTATTTTAGAATTGGTACACTTACAGTGATGGAATTAGAGGTGTTCTATCAGCAGCAAGTGTCAAAACCACTTTTCCAAGTACCACTGAGTAGGACTCCGCTGCCAAATGCATTTTTTCGTAAATTTTGCATATTTCATTTCCTTTTTGGCTGATATAATTGTAACTTCAGCACAGGATACTCGATATAAGCTTCTAATAGTACTCCAAAAATGAACGTAATCGGTTGAAAAATAAAAAAGTCGATATGTTACACCTGAGCTCTCCCAAGTGGACGGAGGGTGCATATGCTGGCTTCCTTGAAGGTACCTTCTCACTGAAGATGTCTTTGAAACATCCCATTCCGTCGTATGTAGTGATGAACGATTTTCGTACACAAGTGATGGTGTCCTATGCTAGGCAACGCCGCACTTGTCTTTGTGGAGAGTACAATCACTTTGCAGCGCAATGTGGTCGCCAACAGTGGAAGAAGGACATAAGGCGGCCACCAATGGAAGAGCCCATCCATAAGGTGACTGTGATGCATGAGTCGGGTGCATGTCCAAAGACGTCATTGTGGAGTGAAGAAGTGGAGCAAGAGGAGCTGATTGAGGGGTCTTGTGTGACTCTACCTGGAGATCCTTCCTCCGTTGGCCCGGTTATGCTGGGTGAGGAGGGTAGGATGGTCATGGAAGAGAGAGTGGACGACACATTAGCGACTGTGCTGAAGGGATTGTTGGACACACCTGGAGAGGTGGAAGAGGAGGGGCTTGAATTATCCCTTGGGAATGTATCTTGTGTACGGTCCCAGGATGTAGAGGAGCTGGTAGAGAAACAGGCTGCTGGGATGGATATCATCACCGTGGAGGCACTGGTGCATAACGAAGGCCTTCTGGAGGTGGCTATGGAGGTGGTGGGAGGATCATGCAAACGGGCGGGGGCATTGTCAGACTCTGATGATGTTCTCACCCCGGCGCAGAGGCCAGGCAAGAAGGTGTGGGCAGAGGTGGCACAGGGCGGCCCTAAGGGGCCAAGGGGTCCGGTGGCGGATACTGGAAGACCTCCAGTGTCTGGTAGTGTACATGGTGGTAGACGCCAGCAGGCGTCTAAAGGCGGATCAGTGCCTACAGGGCACAAGGTATAGCTCGCTTGAAGTGTGTCTCAGTAAATGTAAATGGGTTGCGAGACAGAGTGAAGTGTATGTTGTTTGTGGGTTTTCTTCGTAGGTATGGAGTGGATGTAGCTTTTGCGCAAGAGCACAATTATAAAGCCGGGTGTGAGTTAGTACTGGATGGATTTTGGGTGTTTGTTGCACATTCAACTCGATTGAAATGGGGCGTCGCCATCCTTCTGCAAGAGACCAGCCTGTTTGTTGTGCATCATAGTGAGGTAAGGGAGGAGGGGCGGATCGTGTGAGTGGATGGGCTATGGATGGGGGTGAGGGTGGCGCTAGTGTGTGTATATGGGCCCACAGAGGGGGATGGACGTGTCAAGACTGCCTTTGTGAGTGATGTGTTAGTGTACCACCTCCGGTCGCTCCCCCCCCCCCATGGCGGTTGTGGGGGGTGACTGGAACTGTGTGGTGAGAAGGAAAGATGTGGAGCCTCGAGGGGCTGGGTTTCACTCTGTAGTGTTAGGGGATCTTTTGTGAGGGGCGGGGTTGTGGCATGTGGCTACGGGAGAGGCGTGGGAGGTGGAGCACACGTTTGTGTGAGGAGGGTATGCTGCTCGTCTGGACCGTTTGTATGTAACGCAGACTGCAAAGGTGGAAAGGGTGTGTGTGGTGGAAGTAGCATATTCAGATCATCGGGCAGTTTTCGTTGAAGTGGGGTGGGATGGGTTGCCTAGGAGGCATAGGAGTTTTTGGAAATTGAATGTTCAGCTCCTTGCAGATGGAGGGGGGAGGGAGGGGTTTGCACAATTGTGGAGGGAGTTGTGGTCAGAGATGGGGGATGTTGGGGATATGTTGACGTGGTGGGATGCAGTGGCAAAGGAGAGGATCAGGGCGTATTATGTTAGACAGGGGCAAGGTGGAGGCTCAGATGACTTTTGGGCTTATAAGATATTTAGAGTGGAGGTTGCGGGATTGTTATGGGAGAGGGGTGCAGGGCGGGGGCTATCCTGCAGAGGAAATAGAGG